CATATGCACATACATATATGTAAATATCATACATATATATATATGTGGGGGATATAATTTATAAAATAGAAATAGATAGACAAGATGAAGATGAAGAAGTTCGTGATGCGGTAGGAGCGCAGAAAGTTGCCTGCCAGGGGCTGTCGGGAAATCTCTGTGGAGGTGGTGCCGGCTGATTTTATTATTCTCTGTCTCTCTCGCTTGCTCTTTATCTGCATGTTATACATGTGACATGATGTGGCAGCGTGGGCTTCTGCATAGGATACGACTACATGCACTTAGCACGCAGGAACCATGCATGCTTGCAACATGAGGTATAGGAGGCATGTTGCTTTGCATAAATTANNNCTATGTCGTCCAGCAGCGTGGACCTGCCAAAAACTGGCTTGAGTGTGGATTGGTTCGAGCTCGAAGGCCTTTCAGAAAGGGGTGCAGGTGGCCGATTGGTGGTTGCACCAGGTGTGCTGACGAGGGCCGACCTGGATTTCAACTGGAACATCGTTGCAGTAGCGATGCAGCACATGGGTGCTCGTCCAGGGGTGGATCAACTGCAGGACGAGGTTGATCTTTTCTTTCAGCGTTGCCGGCAGAAGGGCAAGAAGCCAGTCAGTCGTTACCAGGCTCCAATAGTTAAAGGAAGTTCATGTTTTCATATTGAGCTTCCTGCCGAGAGTGATTCGAGTGATCATTGAGGTGAGTTTTGTCGTACACAAGCTTGGCGAGTTCGCAACTTGGTATCTATGTTCAACAGGATATGCAAGCTGCCCCACCGCCCGAACGAAGAGAACATTCGGTATATCTACACCCATTTGGGCCTGGAGATTCCCCCTGGTACTTTGTCTGCAATTATATGTTAGAAGAGATTGCTATTTCCCAGCAATATACAAACACCCCACCCCAGGACGACAGCCACGATCCCACGAGAGCCTGGACGAGCAGCATGGTTCCGAGGAGGCGCGGTTTGTTTCAGCCATCGTGGGTATTTTGCTAGTGCCGGGGATGCGACAGGTCGGCTATGACGAGGCGGTTGAATCGGAAGCAGCAACTGATGATGAGATTTGCGAGCCCGAGAAGCCACGTGAGCCCCAAGGTAATCCCTCGCCAAGAACCTTTGCAATCATTATTGAATCGGGTTTCTGCTTGCATGAGCATTGATGGTAAAGAGCCATACTGCATTGGACCATTTTGTTGATCCCAGGAAGCATCCCATCGGTGCCGTCTACGGCGCCAGTGATCACCCCGAAGCACGCAGCAGGCAAGGGGTCGCCTGCATCAGGAACGAAGTTGCCTCCCCCCAGCAAGCGCGATATTTTGCAAGCTTTGACTGAGCAGCAGCAGCGGTTGTCTCAGTTGCTTTTGCTAAAGCAGCAGCAGCAGAAGCAGCAGCAGAAGCAGCAAGCCGCGAACTCCTGGTGCCCAAGCAAGGGTAGCTTGCATGCAGTAAGTGTCGTGAGTTTTGCATATTGCATGTATTCAGCATCACGAAATCGGTTTCTTGTGTCATGCACAATCAGGTGATGTGACGACACAGGAGACTCAAGTCATGGATGACAGCAGTATGGAGGCTGCTGTGGGTGTCATTCTGAAAGATGTCGACGCAAAGGAGAAGGCAGCTGTTGCTGCTCATGTTTTTGATTCCCGCACCCCCCTGAAATTGGGTCCGAAGCGACTCCTGACCGGGACTGCTGAGCTTCAGCCTTTGCCGAAATCACAAAGAGCTATCAAGCAAGAGCCGGTCCCCATCAAGAAAGAACCTTTGAACGAGGTGCCAAGCAAGCCTGTGGAAGAGCCGCAAAGCAAGCCGTTAGGAGAGCCAGCAATGAAGACTTTGGTAGAGCCAGCAGTCAAACCTTCAGTGCCAATCAAGAAAGAACCTTTGGATGTGCCAATCAAGACAAAGCCTGGCATCAAGCTGGAGGCTCATGATGATGGTTCTGAGGATCCTTTGCCAGGGTTAGCTGCCCCTGTGGGGTCTGAAGAAGGCTCCGAAGCCCAGGGCCCAGAGGAGTTTGCAGATGGCTCCGATGCTCAGGGTCCAGACGAGCCTGCAGAAGGCTCCGATGCTCAGGGTCCAGACAAGTTTGCAGATGGCTCCGATGCTCAGGGTCCAGAGACTGGAAATGGTGAGCATAGTGCGGCCAAACCCCCGACAGATCCAACCGTGGACGACCTCCCACGACCTGCCCTCCTAAGCACAGCTGGTATTGTGGCCCCAGGTGACCAGAACCAAGCGCGCAAGAAGAGTGGCACGAGCAAAGATAAGAAAGAGTCGTCTCAGACCCGTCAGACCCACAACAAGAAACCAGGCCGGAAGGATGAGAAGGAGATGGAGACAGTGGCTGAGCCCAAGAGAAAACCCGGCCGCCCAAGGAAACAGGACATCCAGCCAAAAGCCAAGGCCAAAGCTAAGGTGTCCAAGAAAGCCGCGACCCCAANNCGAAGTTTTATTCACCGGAGCCGAAATCCAAAGCCAAAGCAAAAGCTAAAGCCAAGAGCAAAGCAAAGGCGGCCCCCAACCACCCCAAGACTCGTGCGGGTTCCAAGGGTGGGAAAGGAAAGGATGCGACTTCCCAGGATCAAGGCCTGAAGAGCAGAAAGAGCTGTGCTTATCACAAAGCGAAGACAGCTGCTTTGAAAAGTGGCCTTTCGAAAGAGGAGGCCATCATTCAAGCCAAGAAGGTCACTTGGTCAAATTTTCGACAGTAGGAGAGCATCAGAACCCCATTAACTGGATAGTATATGAGAGAGACAAAGAATATAAAAGAGAAAGAGAGAGAGAGAGAGAGAGGCATACAATGCATGTTGTGTGTGGGTGCATGTGTGTCCGTGTATGCATGCCGGTCTATAGTTCTCTCATAAACATCATCTCTGTGCCTCGGGTGCTGGATTGCAATCTAAGGCTTATGCTGAGCAAGACTGAATCTGCTGTGTACAACCGGAAGCTGGTGGCGCTTGATATTCGTCTCTTTTCAGTTGCTTCAAACAGTGTGGCATAGGTCTTAGCTGTACATTCGGGAGTGCTGCTAGCTGGGGTAAAGCCTGCGGCCAACCCGAAAGCAAAAGCCTCGGTGACTGAAAGCTTCACGATGGCTTAGTGCGACCCGTGCAAAATCTCCGAAGCTTTACATGCTGTGCTGTGCATACATTGGGCACCCTTAACCACATTATCCCACTACCCTATCCTTGCCAGGTCTTTGATGGATGGTGGGGAAACTTCTTTCGACCCATCACGACAAGGACGGAAATCTGATTGGGAATAGGTGTATCCTATATAACAGAAAAAGTATACCCCTAGAACCCTGAAAATCATTGACAAATTAAACCCAAATCTGGGCAGGTTCTCCGGACCCTGGACTACAAGTCTTCTTCAGCCTGAGCAATATGCTTGGAAGGCCCATCGTGTATCCCTTGCAAACTCGAAGTCCCGGCCTCCACTTGCTTGTCAGGCTGACCCGGCTGCCGTCGCTGAGCACTTCGATGTGGAGGCCATAGACTGCCAGTACAGGGGCACTGGTTCCGACAAGGGTCCTCTATGGGATTTGACAACCCGAAAGCCTAAACTCTAAACCCTAAACCCCTAAACCCTAAACCCCTAAACCCCTAAACCCTATAAGCCCCTAAACCCTATAAACCCTAAACCCGGGTTGTGTAAAGGTTCGTTGGTGGTTGTCTCAGATGTACCTCTATAGCTGAAGCCTTTCACTTCATCTTATAAAACCGACTGCCCTCCCCACTGTCACAGGTGAACCATGGCTGTGGCTCGACGTGCTGCTCAACAAGGCTTTGCCTCACCCGTTCCCGTGCTTCGTTGTTCTGCTACGTGTTTGAGGTGTGCTGTCAGCAGTGTGTTTATGGCTTCAGAGTAGCCCACATACGAATTTCATGATGGGGCCCCGAATGATCCCAGCAAGTCTGCAACCTGAAAAAAGGTTCCCGCATCCTGCCCTGATCCCTATATAGCCCATAATCCCTTTCTTATATTAATTGTGGCAAGCCCACTCCTCGTGGTGCAATGGATTCCAATCGGCTGCCGGATTCGTCTTTGCTCGTTCGACTCCTCCATGTTGGAGCTCCAAAGGTTTCTTTGATGTTACCAGATAAGTGAAACTACTTGCCATGATCCCTGTGTCTATCCCATATACATATATATATATATATGTATCTATGTATATATATATATATATGTATGTATGTATGTAAACACACTCCCGGACCCTCGTATATATCTAGCTATACATAATTAAACCCGACCCTGCCTTTTG